ACAGATGTTGTTTGTCGTCTTTTTGGAATTCAACACGATTACTTTGGAACTTTGATGTCAAACTTCGCAAGGGTAAGTGCTTAGCAATGAGAATTCTGTTAAGAACACACTGCAGTTAAGAGTAGCCTACACAAGTTTATAAGTACCAATCTATATAAAAAATATACTATAAATATGTTCTCACTCATTGCAGGATATTATTCATTTGGACCTGTCTCTTATACACATCTAGATGTGTATAAGAGACAGACGCCCATGATTGTTCACCGGGGCAGTAGTAGTAAGCTTCATGCAATTGTCAAACATTTGTCTTGAAATTTTAATTATTTTCAGGTTGAACTACATGATAGTAAGACCAGCAATAGTATATGGAATTGCAGACAAGATAGGATTGAGTAAGTGCCATTCTATTACAGTTATCTCTATCCCCTTCCCCCTCCCCCTTCCCATCAATCCACACTTTACTACTTCCAACATATACCACCTTATCAGTAGGTTGAATCTTGGGAGATTTATGGTTCCTGGTTCAATTCCAGTATAACTCTATGTTTCCCACTTGGAGGGCCAAAAGTAAATGCAGCTCACCATCTTATGGGTGAGATTGGTCCCATGTGTAAGGCTCATTGTATCGGAGATGAAATTAAGGGATACAAACAAAAGTTTTTACAATTGAAAAGAAGAATACATTCTCTTAAACAAACCTAGTTTCCCTATCGCGCTAAAGGGTAAAATGTTACGGAGCATTTTCCAAAAACTGAAAGGTCCACTGATTAATCTCAGATAAGAAAGTATAATACATACTCCAAGATCAGAAATACACGTATTCCCAACACGATGGCCTGCATTTCAATTCTTGGAGTATTCTTTTATAATGATATAGTTGGTATAGTTATTCGGTAGTGGTAGCTACCAAATATTCTTGTATTTTTTTTAACTTCTTGACTTTTTGTATTTTGTATTTTTTTTATCTTCAGCTCCTCGGTTAATAATTGGTGCAGTTTACAAACAGTTGCAAGAAAAAATGAAGGTATTCAGTGTTTTGTCTTTATATCTGTCATTATCATTTGTTTAGATAATAGTTAATATTAATGTATTTTTTTAGTGTCTTATAGATAGCAGGTACCTCTAGTAATAATGATTTTTAACAAAGAATTTAAAAAATAATAATATATGGGTTAAAGGTTAAACTTTTCTCTAGCCAAATTAAAAATGCTGTATGAAAATTTGTGTAATGTCTAATTTTGATGATGTAGGGTTAATGTAAGGCCAAGGACTTTGGAAACTTGAGTTTTGATCAAAATTTTAAAGAATTTATTTCTATACTGTAAACAAGCAATGACATTTCCTTTTTTATGAATGAATAAATTTGACTTTGACTTTATTTTGAGGAGGAATTGAAAATGAAATGTTTCACTTGACTTTAATTTTGAGGAGGAATTGAAAATGAAATGTTTCACTTAGACTACCAGGTCATTGGCTTCCTGTTGTACTGCAGTATTTCACTTGCTTCTTACAAATTCTTACCATCTGCCTGCATACACTAGATTTTGCAGATCTACTTTCATCTACGAGCTAGAGTGGTGGGTGCTGCAATTCAGCAGCTTAGCTCAGTCGGCTGAACTGGTGATAGCCACTGTGTGTGCGCTGAACCGTGGAGATCTCTTGGTCCCCGGTTTAATTCTCTTCGCTTCTCTCTAGTATTTCAGCTGGAGGGCTGAAATGCAAGTTACGATAGTGCACCGTCTTTGTAGGATGAGATATTTTAAAGCCCTTGGTCCTGTGTGCATTATGGCCCATGTACACATTAAAGAACGCAGTACACTCTTCGGAAAAAGAGTAGGGGATTATTTCCCGGTGTACTGCCCAATTACCACCAGAAGGACCCCACTGGAAATAAGTCTTCTTTCAACTTTCGTGGGTTATCCTTAGTGTTTACACCGAATAGATCCTTCCATAGTTACAATTTAGTCCAACACATTTATGATGTTTGCTTTACATCTCAGTGTAAAAATTATGAAAATAAAAATTATATAAATAAGTTATATTTGCTATGCCCCTGGTATGTTTTGAATTATTATACTTTTATTACTGTTGCCAACTAACATTTTTGGCATATATCTAAATTATACTATGTTAATATTGTATTGGTGTCTGTTAGTTTTTAAGTGGATATTAGCCCATGCCTGGCCTTTGTAGCAAAAAGAACAATTTTGGAAAATGCATTCTGAGCATACTGGTAAATATAATAGAAATAATATTATTAATCTTAAAGCATTTGTATCACTTCAAAATTGAAAATTACAGTGTTAATTGTGTTTCTGTTATCAATATCATTAGTTTTTGAAAGGAAAATTTGTTTCATTTTGTTAACAGCTGCTTTGGAGCAAAGATTTGAAAATGAATACAGTCTATGTGCACGATGTCTGTCGGGGTCTATGGCATCTGGTTGAGAAAGGAGAGGTTGGTGAAGTGTACAACCTAGTAGATAAATCAGACACAAGTGAGTAGATTTTGAACTGATTCCCTTTTTTTTTTTTTTTTGGAGTTCAAGTGTTTTCATTTTCATTTCTTTAGGCACGAGAGCCAAGGATATGCCAATAAGTGAACTTAATCACTGTCCTACATGGCATATCCATTTAACAACAGGGGAGTTAATGGACCAGTACACCAGGTTACCCCCTACTCTTCTCGAGGGATGTCTCGGTTCTTTAAAGTGCACATGAGCCAAATGCGTACACTGGGCCTACGGTTTAAAGTTGTTATCCGAGAAGACTTATTCTGGAACTGGAACTATTGGCGAGTGAGTCGTTTGAACCAGCGCCAATATTAGAGCTGAAGGTTACGGTGCCCCTGATTTAACTGCTCGGCTAATCACCTTGTGTAACTAATAATATAAAGTATCTTGTTTGGAAATCTCGTCTTGTTGTTTAAGATGCTTAAGAAGAGGGCGTATCATATTGATCTGTGTTTACGTCAGATACTAACGTTATATTGGCATATTGTATAAGGGTGTGAAATCAATTGCCTCCAACTGGATTGAGTTTGTCCCAGCTTTTAGATATGTTATTATAAGCGCAAAACTTATATATTTGTGTTTGTGACGTACAGTTTCCTTCCAATGTTTCAGCACAGGGAACAATTACAGATGTTGTTTGTCGTCTTTTTGGAATTCAACACGATTACTTTGGAACTTTGATGTCAAACTTTGCAAGGGTTAGTGCTTAGCAATGAGAATTCTGTTAAGAACACACTGCAGTTAAGAGTAGCCTACACCAGTTTATAAGTACCTATCTATATATAAAATATACTATAAATATGTTCTCACTCATTGCAGGATATTATTCATTTGGACACTCGTGTAATTCGTTTAGGATTAATCTCATGTATTTGTTCTCATTCATTTATAAGAACACTTTCATGATTACACTAAAAAGTTTACTCATTAACACACTCATTTAATGTCAACTATTCAAAATTGTTTTACCTTATATTAACACTGGTTATGAGTAAGAGTTTACTCATAACCACACTTATTTAGTAGCAGGAGCATTTTCGATACTTCCTACGTTTTTTTTTATAATAGCATAACTTTTTTATACTGTGTATATTTTACCTGTACCATGTCACTACACCTGATAAAACCAGCATAGACTGCTGGCGAAAGCCTGTGTATTAAATAATTGAAGTGCTACCCACCAGTGTTTTTATTTCATACGTTTAAAAGACTAACATGGCTCTATCTATTATTACACACTTATTTTATGTCACATTCATTTAAGAGTTTTGTATGCATAAGCTTTTGTGTATTACTGCATTATTTTAGGATTTTATTTTGTACTAACCTCATCTAAGAGTGCTCTTGTGTATAATTCCACTCATTTTAATCATTTTAAGAAAAATTAAATATGAATGTTTTTTCTTTCAGGTGAACATGACAGAAATTGTTGAGGAATCTAATGAAAAACATTTAGCACCATGGTCTGATGCTTGCAAAGAAAATGGTATTGAAAACACACCATTAAGCCCATACTTAGATCAGGTAAAATTATTATGATTATGTCCATTCTTATTATCATCAGCATTATCATCAATGTCATTGTCATTATCATCATCATCTTCATCACCATCTTCAACACTATCATTTCAACCATCATCCAATTCATCATCCTACTGACATGAACCGCACCCGTGGCAGCTGGCAGTGTATTCTTGATGCTATTGATGCAGCTACTTTGATCTGATCTGATCGAAAAACTAGTAAGAGAAACATTAAATTTTTAGGTTCGATCGTGGATGGCAGAAATATGCATTCTCAGGAAAAAAATGTGGATTCCTAACTGATTTTCAGTCGTAAAAATACAACCCTAAAGTAGCAAATGATGCATTTCCGGGTATCTAGGGAAAAACATTTTGGGGGATGCCCCAGACACTCCCAGCCTAAGGGAGGGTTTTTAGAACAAAATTCTCACGTCTGCAAATTTGTTGAACATGGCATATATGAGGGCCCCCAATAACAGTCAGCGCCAGGGCCCCACAAACTCTGTGATGCCACTGATCATTACCACCATCACCATTATTATTGCCACCACCACCTACCACATTCTCATCACTGTTATCATTTATATTTATTCATTCATATCAATTTTGCAATGTGGTGCTAACATTTCTAACACCTGGGGCTGGCAAACAAATGCCATAGTACAAACAGAATCTAAAATCTAATTTTGGGAGTGCAGCCCAGGAGGATAATAATACTGTACTTCTTCATAGTTGTGTGTAAATGTAGGAGAATAACACACAACTCGCAGTGTCATTGTGCTGAATTACATATGGCTGTGACTACCTTGTAGCCGTAGATAGGCGCTTAGTAGATTCATGTTAACCTCATTCCAAAACTACTGGAGCTGAAATGAATCACAGCATTGGGGTAACCACCTACTCTTGCAAAACAAAAGTGTACCGTGAACCTCCATTTTAAAATCCTTGGTTATACCCTTGGCGAGAAGTATCTCAAACTAGTGCTTATGTTAAAAGTTGTAGTTAGCAACACCCTTGCCTTACCACCTGGCGACTCGCAAATTGTAGTCTGATATTCAAACATAGATTTTTTCACAAGGTGTGTGCAATCACAAAATTTGTTTAAAAAGTGTTACATTAAAACAGATAGGCAATTTTTATTCGAACACATAAAGTTACAAAAGAGGAAATTTCCATCATTTTTCTTACCCTTGATTCATTAATAGACAAATCTGTAAATTTTTCATGTTTATTTTTTTATTTGCAACATTGTAGGAGTTACTGTACAACAAGCACCTATACTTGGATGGGAGAAAAATTGAGGCCACTGGATTTCAGTATGAACACCCCCACGTATCAATGGACTCGCTTAGAGCGGTAAGCAAACTTTAAGACACTGGAGTACAAAACAAACAGCCCCAGGGTCAGATCCAGATTTTTGTGAAAGGGGGAGGGGATGTGTATTTCATTTTTGGGAGGTGAGGGTGAAAACACTTTGTTTCCTAGATTCTTGAATATGCACTTTCCTGCATTCTCAGGGGCATGTTAAAAACTTTCCTACAATTTCAGAGATTTTCTTGTGTAAGTGGGGAAAATGATGGTCATAAGGCTTTGGCTTATGATGACATAGGGGTCTAACAGTGTGAAAGTGATGGAAGTACTAATGTCATCAAAATCAGCCCATCATGACTGGGGAGGGGGAGGGGTGGGACTAGGGCTGCCCCTTGTATTCTCTTTGAATGAACCCATTCAAAAAACTAAGATGAATGAATTGTTATCCTGCAAAGATATTAAAGATATTATTATTCGAGAGTTATTTAAATTGATGACAATTTATAATACCCATATATTCTTTTTTCCTTCTTTACAGGTTCTAAAAGACTACGTTGAAATGGGAATATTCCCAAAAAACTTGGTACCATGATTACAGTGTTACAATGGATTTATACTATGCTCTTTAGGAAATGCCTACATTGGAATACGAAAATCACATAGTTTGAAAATATTTTCTAACCTTTAACCTTTTTCCTGACCTTTAGTCTATACATTAAAGAACCTTCCACAGAATATTTTCTGTCTGTTATAACAATAATTTGTAACTAAATTTTCTATATATGATAACTGCAGTGTTCGAAATATGGCTTGTTCGCTTGTCCCAGCCAACCAAAATGTCCCACAGACAACCAGAACTATAGGGCAACTTGTCCGTGGGACAACCAAAAAATTTTGGACCCAAACCGCACCTCAAGTAATCGTTTTTTGCCTCCCGAACTTTACTGCCTTGTTGTCACTGGCGCAGCCATTTTGGATTCGCCAAATCACATGTTTTCTTGCGTTTTGGTCTGAGACTTGAACTGAGGCGCCCTCTCGAGCGTTACTTATACTGTGGCGGGCCCATAGAGATATAATAAGAATACTAGCGCACTAACCGCAATGTATTCGATGTTGGAAATACGCAGAACTGTGTGTGTGTACCATCCAGGATGGCTGCCATTGATTTAGCCAATCAAATTTCGCTAAGCACCATCGTTTGTAATTACGCCCTCAATTTACTCAGAAAGTTCAGTACAGCTACTGTAGTTACCCGTATGTTTGAAACTCGAGCGTTGCGGTGTTTGGGTGTAATGTACACAATTTTAATTTCCTTTCCTTGGTACTATATTTTTGAATAAGATGCTCCACTTGGCCTCGTTTTGGCTACAATAGTTTAATAATTTGTTATTACCATTACTCATTATCATTAATGAAATAATAGTCAGTCAGAGGGCTTATTAATATGTAATAATATGTATACTAAAGCCTGAATGTGGCGCTTTACTACTACGGCCATCTTGGATGGTAGACATACATAACTCTGCATTGCTGCGCCATCTTGTCAGCACTCTAGTTGTTTAATAGCTCTATGGGCGCACAACAAGGCAAAGAAAAAGAAAAGCAATTTTCATTTTCATTCAAAGCAGCAGGTTAGCATATTCCATCTAACCCAAACCCCCAGGTTATCCTGTAGTGATGGAGCCTGGCTAATGACTCATGTGCATACATACAGAAAGCACTCACCCTGCACTGCAGCTATGTTACAAAGCAGGTTAGCATGTTACAGAGGGTGACTAAGAGCCAAAGGTGCATAATGGAAAGGAGAGAAATTAAAATTATCAAATACTAGTACTAAAAGCAGTGTAAATTACCCAAACCCATGCTCCGACAGTGCTACAAAAGCAGGAGGGAAAAAAGTGCAAGGCAAAAATGAAGCAAGCAACAGATAATATACGGACAAGTAAAAACATTTGCGGACAACCAAAGTTTCCATCTAGGTTGTCCGCCAGACAACTTTAAGTTTTTCCTTATTTCGAACACTGAATTGATTGGGTATTTTTAATAATATTTATTGTAATGATGAAGGTTAGAATGCATTATTTATTGTCTGTTTTGTAGTCGTCAAGGAGATGCTGATAATAGAATATCATCATCTTCTGCTATATTATTTCATTTTGTGTAGATGTTGCATACTCTAAATGTTTTCATTACTCTCTTTCAGTGGTTGTATGGTCTGTCATTGATTGATTTAATTGTATAGTAGAGTAAAAATCTAATTATCAAATCCAGTATGTTATTAATATCATTGTTGAGAAATCTACATAATGTTTTTTTTTTTTTTAAATTCACCAGCTTTTTTGAATGTTTGATATTGATTCTTCCTGTTATGTCATTGTTGTTTCTCTTACTTTATTCACTCTGTTAAATTGTGTAATAATCTCTGTTTTGTGTATACATTCTGCATCAGAAACACAAGTCCTCTTCCACGCCCATATAATTTAATATGCTTCAGCTTTAAGTCTGTTGGTTTCAATTGCAGTGGACCTTCCAAAAAGGCCCATCCCTTCGATATTGTTGCTAAGTGGCACAGAAGGACAGTAAACATACATACACACATGTGTTAGTTTGCATTACTGGACCTTTTCTGATTCGTTACTTGTTAAGTTTGATTGACACAGTAATACTTGTAGCTGTGAAAGCCTATGTCATAGTTCAAGACATAAACAAAGAATATAGCCCAGGGATGGTGCCAGTTGGGGGAAAAAAACTACAGTTCGTCGGGGAGAAAAAAAACCTTGTATGTATTTTGGACATATTAATAGACTCTAAAATCGAGTAAATGAGCTATTAAAATGGTATCCACCACTGTTATTCTTTTGAAAGATTTAGGGTAGGTAATAGCTAAGTCATATTTTATTTATTTTTCATGTCTCTTGATTTGTTTTAATTTTCATTGGATGCAAGATTTATCTGTATCAACCACTGTTATTCTTCTGCTTAGATTTAGGATAGGTTAGCGAAGTCACTTTTTATTACAGTGCCACTGTAACAAAAGTGATTCCGATTGAAAAATAAAACTAAACCTTTATAACACAATTTGCAATTTTGATTAGTGGGAAAATTTGCTCTGGATATTTCAATAATATTTGTAAGTATTTTTGTATGTATATCAGTATAATGTAATTTTGCATGTTTATTTCATTATAAATATATGTAAATGGATGTATTGTATTATTCGGTCAGGAATTTTAAATGCTTCCAATTTTGGGGTCACCTATCATTTTTTTCATCATTTTCAAGAGAATACAATTTTTTGTGACCTCTCTTGTTTTAAAAGAGTGTATAATGAAATGATGAGTATTGTAATTTTTAGATCATATTTTTTTTCTCATTTTCATAATAGTACATACACCCCTCTGCTATCATAATGTTTTGTACTCTCGTGTAAATGATGAATATTTGATGACCCCCTGCCTATTGCTTCAACAACGAAAGTGAATTGGCATCTAAGAGTGCTGAAAGTAGACTGGATAGAAGTTAAATAGTTATTGCTCTATATCTCTTCATATACTTTTTCTTCTATAAAACTTGATATTGTATATAGAGGTTAGATTTCGTTATTTCTTAGCGAAGCTGATTTTATTCACGAAAATCATGGTAAATTTTACTAGGAGTTGATTGCAGTACTTTGAGTATGTATGGCAAGCATCTCAACCACTATGTCATAAATTTTAATATTTAACCAGTTTGGGTACAACACCAGCAGCGAACGAACAAAAAAAATACACTGAGTTAGCATGGTGCTCCGAGTGCGCAAATGTATAGGTACACCATGCACTTGCGTTAAGTAATGAGCTTGGAATCTAATATCAAACGTTTTTGTTCATATTATCTGTTGCCACTTTCACACACTATTTGATTATTGCTCTTTAGTGCTGATTATTACTATTTCATATTAATTTGATTAAATTATTGTAATTTGATTCAGGTTTTTATTTCGTTCCTAATGAATCATGTGCTTTCAATTATTAGGACTGTTGATGTTATTATAATATTTAATTATTATTAGTCATTATGAAAATTGAATAATTATTGTTTTTGTGATAAGTACGCTGTGCAATATTTATATATATTCTAAACATGTTTCTATTCTATTGGTCTCGACTGAACTACCGCATCACTTTTGGTGAGATTCTTCTATGCATTTCTGAATAATAAATTCTATATTTTCATATTCTCATGTTTATATAGGCTTAGATGTACAGTACACTAGTTGGTATCGTTTTAGAAGAAATCTTTTGTTTACATCAAACTTGGCATCCAATACTGTATCTTTAGGCTAAATATTTATGTAAAAGAAACATACTGTAACTCATTAGCCAATAAAACATAGCGTTCGAGTTATTTTGTGTAGCAATTTAATACTATTCAAAATAATATTCAAAAATTTCTATTATTACAATGGTTGCATATTTTGTTGTATTATATTTTGGTTTCTGTGCTTGATAGAATTAATGTTTCGAAATTACCACTTTAGCATGAAATACCTTTATAATGTGTTTTCCCGTTAGTGATTAGAATTGTTTGTATACCAGAATTAATGAGGAAATCAAGTGTTTTAGCTTTAAGAAAGGACAATAAATAGAGATCAACTGAAAATATTTTGAATTTAACTTGAGTTTATCAAATATCAGATCAATTACTGGTATCCTTGTAGTTAAAAGAGAATAATTAATTACATTTTTATAAAACTGAATCAGACAGGAAATAAAGTTGCTTATTCGTAAGATAGTGTAACACCTTTAGTGACTGATCTACAGCGTAATGTGTCTATGTTGTTTGCCGTTTTATAATAATTATAGGTAGGCATATTAATAATTACAGGTAGGCCTATTAATAATTACAGGTAGGCCTATTAATAATTACAGTTACGGTACTCCTTCCATAATTAATTTTCTCAATCATTTTTCTGTGAGAGAATTTAAACGTGTTTACCGTTAAAGTGTCTCCATGGTGATTATGCAAGCTATTAGGGAGTAATAAGGTGTGATAGTATTTGATTTATAAAAATCGAAATGCTTCATATGTATTTTACATTGTCAAATTATGATACTTCGAAAATCGTTTTTGAAGTTTGAGAGTGCTATTTCCGATAGAAGTGCTAAATCCTGAAAAAAATCGGTTGGTGTGCACTCTTCTGCCTGACAAATACCTAAATGTTTACGCCGCCCCTGTTAAGGAATCAATGTTCATATTCACTTTCACGTTAATATCCAAATTAATTCTGTTTGAAGAAGCATTACTCTGAGTAGTAGTTCTAGTTAATTATTTGATGATTATGATGATGTCATAATAACGGTGCATTTGCCTAGTAAGGCCTAGGCTTAATTCAGATAACAAGCAACATTGATAACGCTACAAGATTATTTTTGTTCTTGGCCTACTTATATCATTTCTGATAGCGAGTTATCAGCTTCAAAGTCCATTGTACACCCATCAAATTCAAATCATCCAGATTTAGAATTACAGTAGAACTGCAGACACAAAATGGAACAAATGACTGTAAGAATAATTGTCGTGCTGGTCTACTCTGCACTGGGTGCTGTGGGGAATATTGTTACCGTAGAAGAAGGAACAATACAGGGGACAAGATTGGTTTTCACCGATGAGACCATACTAAATGTAAATCGGACAATCGATGTTTACCGCGGCATTCCTTATGCCGAGGCCCCTATCGGTGAAAAACGATTCTCACCACCAGAAGCAAAAAGATATTGGAGCCCTGAGATATGGAACGGAACTGAATTCAGAAATGCATGCCCGCAAACTAATCCGAACATTCAATCGGTGGAAACTGGCGAAGACTGCCTTTATTTGAATATATTTGTTCCTTTTAGTGAAACGGTAAGAATCAACATAGAGGAATAAAATAGATCTTATTCCTCCATGGAATCAATGAGTATTTTTGTTTTATTTTCAGCAGTAAGTATATAGTAGAGTACACCAGGTTTCTCCAAAAAGTAACACATTATGAAATTAATACAGATGACATAAACTAAGTTTGACAATTATTAGCTGGGTGCCACATATACTTGCCAATCTTTTTTTTTTTTTATCACTATGTAAATGTTTGAATTGTGTTTTCATTTTGTAGCAGCAGTGAACAATTATTGATTTGCCTCTAAAAGTTCAAAGCACACATCCTTGGTTGGTGTTAATTATTGCATCTACATGAAAGAAAAACCAGTGTGGCCGTACTTTTACATAACTACGAGGATGAGAGATAGACGATAATAATGGTTTTCGAAATCATTTAAGGGATATATAAATACAAAAGCCTACAACTTAGGCTGACGAGGATTGCAGTATCCGGGCATGATTAGGCCTAATATTAAGATACCGGTAATCAAATAACCTCATGAAAATTAGTCATACACCAAATCAATAAATACGGAGGTACATAGGCGCAACCAAAAATATTATTCTTACAAGTTAACAGGCATTTTTTTTTTTAAATAATTGATAAAATTTGATAAGAAATTGACAACGAATACTTGCAAGTGATTGTTGTTGATACTGCATAAGGAAGGGTCCAGTTCATAAGAGAGGAAGTGGAATATTGATAGATGAAATGTATGAGAGTGAAGCATGGCAAGGATTGGAGAAGGTGGAAGTTGGGTAAGAGATTGAGTCAGAGGGATCGCAGTTTCTAAGTATCATTAAAAATAAAACAAAATTAAATCGGCAGTCAAAACATGAGACACCTCTACTCTAGCTTACTGTTGGATAATTGATATGAACAATAGATAACCGGACAGGCCTAGACCAATTTACAAATTAACGTCGCTACCATGGACGAAAATTAGAACAATTCAAATAATTATGTACAGTATATAAATTGTGAATTTTCTTTTATTTCTTTTTTGTTTTGTTTTTTTGTTATATGACTGTTGTGTTCCGTTTATTGATAATTGATTTAGCTCAGTTTTGAGTTCCTGTCTTTTTCTTTTCTTTGAAACTCTTGTTATTCTGGTTTTTATGTTTTGAGATAATAAACAAAATAAAAAATGAAATGAAATGTCTTTTTAGTAGTTTAGATGTTTGGTCTTTTTCTGTAGGTACGTTTGAGACCTGTTATGGTGTGGTTTCACGGAGGTGCATTTGTTGTTGGAACATCGTCGCAACCGGAGTTCGACCCTACGGTCCTGTCAGTTGTTGGAGATCTTATAATCATTAATGTTAATTATCGACTTGGTATATTTGGGTTTTTAACTACCGGTGAGGGCATCAACCTACTAATATTATCTTATTTGTTCAGTGTATCGCAGTACAGTAATGTATAATTACTGTGTAATACAGTTCTAGTCACGGGACTTTGTTTAACAATCGAAACCTTCGCTGGCGCTGAATGTTTTGACGTCGGGCGGTGGAATTGGACACGAACAAGGCCATTGAAGATGGACGAAGCGTCGGCCGTGACCTGAATTGTGACTACCAAACATCAAGAGACTTTATAACGTGCCTTCGGAATAAAACAACAGATGAGATCTTAGAAGCGCAAAGAAAGGCAGGTCCATATATTAGGCCTATTATTATTATCAATAATATAATAATAATATAATAATGTTATATTTATATAGCGCATATTGCACATTGCCCCTATGCGCTTTACAGAGAAATAATATAGGCCAACTCAGAAAATGCAAATAACAATAAAATAATAACAATAAAATATAATAATAGCAAATAACAACGAGACTAAACTACTCCTATTCCTTAAACTAATTAATGGTTGGCCGTTGAATCCGAGGAGCTCATCCGCCCTTTGTTCATCTATTGGTTTTTCTTGCTGCTGGGTGACCATAAACACCCTCCCCTCAGCAGCCACTAAGACATATTTGAGAGGGTTGTCAGATTATTCGCCGACTCTTCGACCGGATGGAGTTTAAGGTCGTACCCAGGACGTCCCTAACTACCTTAAGCTAGGCTTAACTACTCTTAAATACAGTATATTACTCTTAACTCTTATTATTATTATTATTATTATTATTATTATTATTATTATTATTATTATTATTATTATTAATGATAATAATAATAATAATAATAATAATAATAATAATAATAATAATAATAATAATAATAATAAATAATAATAATAATAAATCATAGCAAATAAATATATCAATAATTACTGCACAGTATTTATGGCTCTGTTTCTTCTACCATCAGGTCGTACTTCAAACAGTAAATGTCATTCCATTTGTGCCGACGGTCGATGGGTACTTTCTCGCTGATAAACCGACAAAACTTCTTGAAAATGGCAACTTTAAGTCAGCTAAAATCATGATCGGTAACAACAAAGATGAGGGTACATTGTGGGCAGTGCGAGCTTATCCCGCATTCCTCACTACCCGCAACCCACCAAAAATGCCGTTAGCTGAATTTCGTGAAGTATTTCCAGAGTTTGTATACTGGTACAAAGACCCACACACAGCCGATGCGATTGAACAACAATACCTAGACTGGACCATCGTGGATGACACTAACGCTGATCACTTTGAGACTTTTGTTAAACTTACTACTGACCAGTCATTTGCTTGCCCAGCCAATGACGTAGCCAGGGCGCATGTGGTAAATGGAAACGATGTATACCGCTATGAGATGACCCATGTACCAAAAACATCTGTCTGGACGCTGAAAAAAAGGGTAGGACCTAAATGGATGGGTGCAACTCACGGGGAAGATTTACCGTTCATGTTTGGCTGGGGGTTCAACGATGCATTTGATGACCGGTATGGAGAGCAACCGGAAGATGAAAAGAAAATGGCCGTCCAATTCATGACATACTGGGCGAATTTCGCTAATTATGGGTGAGAAAAATATTTACCTTATATTTTATAAAATTATGTCATTGCTATTGCTAATTGATGATGTTGTTGCAATAAACGGTCCTTTATAGCACCAGGCGAATGCAGTTCTAAACAGTTACTTAAGGCCCACTGTACTGACATGTACTGTATGTAGCGCTCTTGCTTGGCTTGGTAGTGTTTTGTTTTTTGTTTTTTAAAATTTTTTATGTATATTTTTTTCAGCCACCAATTTATGGGCAAGGGCATTAATAAAGCCAATGGCCTGTTTGTACAGCCCCTAACAAAAATGCTACCGGTATTAAAAGCTATGATTATAACAAAACATAATGGAACTAAAACTATAAGGTGACTAGCATGCATTGAATTATAAGCCGTACTGTGGAAATAATTAGATGTTTATAAATTGCATTTAAAGAAAACCACAAAAATCGATTGTTGAAGAGTACTACTTAGGGTTCCAAACACGTGGATCATGAACATTGAGAAAAGATTAACATTTTGTAACGGTACATGGTACTTTAGAGTGCTTCTTTAAATACGCTTCTTGAAACATATATACGCCTATCAGATAATTTGAGAAAGGGTTGTAAGCACCAGAAGACATTATCGCCACACCAAGCGTAGACTCATTTAAGACAAATAAATTGATGGACAAACGGTCTATCAGCCAAGTAACACGGGATACACTGTTAGGTGTTGTTTAACGTGTGCTGTGCCATTGATACAAATGTGTCCAATAAATAATAATATTATCCATCATAATCGGCAAGTATCTTTCAGTCTTCAAGAAGTAATCATAAGATATTTTTTAATTTTTTATTGTAAAAACTATCTGTTCCAGCAATCCAAACGGAAATTCTAGTGCAATACAAAATTTACCTTATCCCGAATGGCCGAAATTTACTCTACCAGAATTAGAATACAAACAACTATCTAAGGAGATGGAAAATGGGCGTGCACTTCGAGCAGACGGTTGTAGCTTTTGGCGTAACTATGTTCCAAGATTAGCAACTTATACAGGTATGTACTTGTATTGTATTTTCAAACTAGTGGATAATAGCGCCAGTAGGCCTACTGCAAGTCTAGTCTTCTGGATTTCTTTGCCAGCTCCAAATTTAGTCAAGGGCGGATCCAAAATTTTTCAAACGGGGGGGGGGGGGGGGGGAAAAAAA